GTCAAATCTTGCCCTTTACATTCCTAAAAGAACACTTCACCCTGTGAGGACATAATATCCATTTATGCTGTGGAAAGTGTCAGTAAAATAGAAAACAGAAGCTTCTTTGTGTTTAAAAAAATAACATAGAGTACAGGCATTTGAGGATCCAGGTAGCCAGCAGGTAGGCAAAGTGATCGGGCTTTCTGATGTGGAAACTAATACTTTCAAGGGGCTTTGCCTCTCAGATACAAGGCCTGACACACACTTGCCATAAAGGCAAGCTTTTGAAACTGACATTTAAAAAGCTTATGGTTAGCATTTACTTGGCTTGAAGATAATGAGCTAATTTGTTTAAACAGGCAATAGATGACCGAAGAAGCAAATCAGAAGGTGCTAGTTTTGCTTAGGATCCTTGAAATTCAAAGAATGAAACTCTTTTTGGTCTTTTACTGAATTATGTGATCTTGGACAAGTGCTACACTTTTTCTGTCAGTGCTGTTCTTAAAATGTCATCCATTAGGGGATGGAGGCACATGTACATATTAGATATATGTTCTTATTCTAATAACTCTCTTAGAAGAACATGCCTGTTTCTTTAATACCAGTTGTATTTAATTAATCATCTCTTAAACAAATTAACCTCAATATCTGAATCTGTAAAATTATTAGTTAGAGAAGTAATTGAGTACCAGAAAGGTTGAAAAATTTATCATTGGAAATCCTCATTCCATAACTTCGCCTAAAAGTATCTTGCTCTAATGTTAAGGGAAAAAATTGTGGGTTGGAGGAATTCAATATAGTAAAGATCTGGTGTGGAGGGGATACAAAGTAGGTATTAAAGCCTATAAGCAAGACTTCTGGTCTGTTAGCCAGACTGTACAGATGCAGAAGAATCCCCCTCCACAATTCTGCAAACAAGCAGAGATAAAATTTTATTAAAAACAAGTTTACAGGTTACAGATGCGCTCAAGAAAGGGAAAACCCTCAGGTGTCAGAAACAGAGGGAAACCCAAGATAAGAAATGTGAGCATGGAGTCCTGGCCAGATGGGCTCATGGAGGTCTGAGATTCAGGGTAGTGACATGAATGTCTAAGGGTAGCATCCGTAGACTGGTAATGCATCCACTCTCCAGGAAGGGCATGGAAGGGCAGGGACGGGAAGTCTAGATGAGTGATGGTTTCATTCATGAAAATGGACCTGGCAGACTCCACCAGCAGTCAGGAGAAGCCTCAAGGAAGCTTGCCTCCTACCTACTGCTGTGAGAGAAAGAAGAGACACCTGCATGAGCCTGTGCCCTAAATGGGCATGGAGTTCAAATTCACACTCCCAGGGCAGTGCCGAGACAAACAAGACATCACTATGCACAGACACTTCATGACTCAGGGAACATGGGACTCGTGTGGAAAACAACCCCTGCTAAAGATGAACTCACAGGCAAAGACATGAAGGACAATAGGTACTAGTATTTAGAGGAGAGGGAAGAAGAAGAAGAATAGACAGGTTTGAAAAATGAATCTGATCGAAATTCCAGAATGGAAAATAGTTATAAGTTTTTGAACCATGTGAACACTTTTGTGTTGGTTGAAAATTGTGAATAATGACTGATAATATGGTTTCAAGGACACTGTTTCTTTTAACTAGAGAGAAAACTTTTCAGAGTGTGGTTAGAAAACTGCTTATCATAGAAATATTCCTGAGTATCAGGGGCACCTGGGTGGCTTAGTCGGTTAAGCGTCCGACTTTCGCTTAGGTCATGATCTCACGTTCGTGGGTTCGAGCCCCACGTCGGGCTCCGTGCTGACTGCCGGCTCAGAGCCTGGAGCCTGTTTCAGTCTGTGACTCCCTCTCTCTCTGACCCTCCCCTGCTCACGCTCTCTCTCTCTCTCTCCTAGAAATAATAAATTAAAAAAAAAAAAAAAAGAAATATTCCTGAGTATCAAACATGCGGACTGAAACTGAGGTTGAAATTGGTATACAATTTTAATAAAGGAAGAGCTGAAGGGATCATCTCCATGTGCACTGAAGAAGCCTTGTTCGAAGAGCTCTTCTCCTTAAATGAAGTTGCTGCAGACTCGCTGGGAACAGGCTGTGGTCCTGTTTCTCTGGTAGAGGTTGATGCTCACTGACCCACTTTGAAAATATTTACCCTGCCCCCCCGCCCCTCCCAGGTCTCACCTACCACCTAACGTCAGTCTGCAGATAACTGACCAGGTTAAGGGTTAGCTTCAGCCTGCAGCCTTGGACCATGGTGAGCTCATTAGCCCATCCTGGCTTTGTTCTCATTCTCAAGGGACTCTAGTGATCTAAATTAACCAATGATATCATTTTTACTGGTCTTGATTTCAGAAAATTCATTAGGCAGCTGATTTTCCTCTTTTAAGACTAGGAAATTAACTGTTATCTCACTGTCAATTTATGGTGACATCACGATGGACTAAAATAGCTTGGTGATTATTTAATAAACAACTAGCTTTTTGTGTCTTTTATTGAATGAGTGGGAACTTTCTCTTTACTTTCTTGCTTGAATACATTGCTCACACAGCTCCACATACATGTAGCCCCTCACTACATACTTGTTTATATTGTGTAGTCATCTGAGAAGGTTTGCTTAAGACTATGTGTCTGTTTGTAAACTCCCCTTCCTTAAAATGAAGATTTAAAGTTTAAAGTTTATAAAAGATTTAAAGTTTATAAAACCATTTATTAAAGACGAATGAAAACTCAGATGTTACCGTGTCTAAGAAGCTGCCTCTTTTACCCATATATTTTTTTTAAATGTTTTATTTATTTCTAGGAGAGAGAGAGACAGCATGAGCAGGGGAGGGTCAGAGAGAGAGGGAGTCACAGACTCTGAAACAGGCTCCAGGCTCTGAGCTGGCAGTCAGCACAGAGCCCGACGCGGGGCTCGAACCCACGAACCGTGAGATCATGACCTAAGCGAAAGTCGGACGCTTAACCGACTAAGCCACCCAGGCGCCCCACTTTTACCCATATTATGTGCCCCCTTCTGTGCTCAGAGCAGTCTGTGGGCATCTGTATCATCCATCTGATGACACCGTCCTATGTGCTTTAAGTGTATGTTTGTGCATCACCCGTCTTGACCCTGAGCTTCTTCAGAGTAGTCTTTCTTCCAGTTGTCACTCCTCAGTACAGAGTAGGCACCTCAGTATTTGTTGGGTGAATGAATGATCACTTTAAATAACCAAGTTGATCGCACTGTATATTAGCCCCAGTGACCTGAAAGTAGCTCTTGTCAGTTATACTCAGGTGAACATGCTAATCCACAGTCTACACATTTTTTTACCATAAATAGAAGTTGATGTATACATTTAGTCATTGAGATTGGAGCATCTGAACATCTGTGAGCTATCGTGGGGCCCCTGGGTGGCTCAGTCTGTTAAGCATCCGACTTCGGCTCAGATCATGATCTCACAGTTTGTGGGTTCGAGCCCTGCATTGGGCTCTGTGCTGACACGTCAGAGCCTGGAGCCTGCTTCAGATTCTGTGTCTCCCTCTCTCTCTGACCCTCCCCTGCTCACACTGTTTCTCTCTCTCTTAGAAATAAATAAAACTTTAAAAATTAAAAAAAAAAAAAGCTATTGTGTATATAAAAATAAGGGAGAGTTGAATTAAGGACAACAAAAAGGTACAGGATAATTGGAGAATTCTGATTGATTGATTGATTTTTATTTTTTTAACATCACTTTACTCTGTCATGGGTCATGGAGGAAGGGTATTGAGAAGACCAGAAAAGTGTATCAGATAAGAATGCATTTCTCCTTCCTTGTTCCGCTACCTTGTCTGGGAATTTTATAGCCTTTTTTTAGAGCTAAGGGACCAGAAGGAGATGAGGAAAATACGATGAGCCATGCACACAAAACCAAGGGCTTTATATTCCTAAAGTGTAATCATTTAGGGGATAATAGCTTGTTCCACTGATATTAAATCACCAAGGAAGGAGAGAGTAGAATTTATAAAAGGAAAGAGGAAAAAAACACAAAAGGTAAGTTTTGAAGGTCTTTAAAAGACTAAGGCAATGACTCAGACTGAAGCTGGAACTAAACAGGTAAGTAAAATACACTTTCAAGCAGAAGGAAGAGAAGGTTCTTAAAGTGTTTCTACACCTTTTGTGGAAACTTAAGACATATTCCCAGAGTTTGGGCTCAGTCTTCTTAAGATACAGTTTACCTTTGATCCATTGGAAGGAAGACTCATCCTGTTAATTTTTGTTTTGGTTTTTCAAGATAACCTCTTTTCCCAAAAATAGGCCTACTGAGGGTAAAACAATTTTTAAGGTCAGATGTTTCAAAGGAAGTTGGACTACACCCCTACATTAGGAATTATTTTTCACCCTAATTGGCCACTGGGTCCTGTATCATTTTCAGTAAAAGAGCATGTTTAACTAAACCGTTTGAAGTATTATATTTAAAGCTAGTATAAAACGTTCATCACACATTTAATTTGAATGTGACAGAAATTTACAGTTTTTAATCCAAAAACCTTGAAAAATATTCACTTAAAATGCGATTGCCAATAATATTTCTCACAATGCAGAGTGAAGTCACAGAATCCAATATAGTAGGACGCGAAAAGCTGACAACATTCAAATTCTTATTAGAAAAGATGGGGGCGCCTGGGTGGCTCAGTCAGTTAAGTCTCTGGCTCTTGACTTTAGCTTAGATCATGATCTCATTAAATCATGATATGGGGCTCCACCCTGAGCATTGGGCCTGCTTGGGATTCTCTCTCCCTCTTTCTCTGCCCCTCTCCCCTGCTTGCATTCTCTCTGTCTCTCAAAATAAATAAATAAATATACATTTTAAAAATATACATAAAAAAAGAAAAGAAGGATGTAACAAATGATACAGAACTAGTTCAAAGCTGAGGGGTTTTGTTTTGTTTTCATAGCTCACTGCTATTTTAAAGCACATGTAGAAATTCCTCCATAAACACATTTTTGTGAATTTATACCAGTAATTTCAATCAATGAAATTACCACTTTTTTGTCCTTATACCAGGTTGTTGGTGTAGCCCAGGCCATCAACAAGAGATCCGGAAACGGTGGGACATTCACTGAAAAAGATGAAAAGGTACCAAAACTTACCTCTGCGTCGATGTCAATTTAAGAAGATGCTTTCTCTTTTTAGTGTATATAGACTTAGCTGTGGCTGAAATTGTTGATCACAAAAAAAAATCACAGTTTAAAATGATCTGAAATGTTCAACAGTGTCTCTTTACTGCAGCTAAAAACAGTGCTGACTTTGGGGTACTAGTGGTAGTCAGTCCTCAGAAATTCCCCAGCTACCTCCTCAGTGTGTCATCAAGTCCCCCCACCTCAAGGACTGTGTGCATGTTGGGGCCATACAGAGGGTTACAAGGTATATTAACTATCTCATTTGCCTTTCATCACCGCCATAAAGAAATCCAACGCTGAGTAAAAACCCCTGAAGCTCCAAGTTCAGAAATCCAAGTCAGCTAAAAATTGGAATTGCCTCCTGATGAAGCAAATTTCAGAATGTTTTATAAGCTTTGCACACAGACGGTGGGGCGCCAAGGTGTGAATTCAGGCTGGATGATGTGAATTTAGCTTCAGAAAGAGCGGCAGTCAGCATTATTTTATTACTCTTCCCATCCAACTCTAAAGGAATACATTCCATGCACCACATCAACATGCTTCCCGTTTAAGGACGGAAGCCCCTAAACCTGTTTATAACTTCATTCTGTCAGTAGGTTTTATTATTTCTCTTCTTGAATATGTAATTATATGTACATCGTGGAGCCTACTGAATTCTTCTTATTCAAGCCTATCGCTATTTATGTCTCTCCCCTGAAAATTAGTAGGAGCGTTTGGAAGACATTCAAACAGGTCAGAGTTATTTTTGTCTCCATGGTGTAGGCCCTACTGGCACTTGTTTTGGTCTCCATATTTTAATTGCTTCAGGACATAGCAAGTACCTTTTTGAATCAGTGTAATAGATATGTAGTCTCCTATTCTGTTAAAGACATCTGAGAATTTTTGGTGGGTAACATGCTCTAGAATGACTTTATGTTTATATTTATTTTTCATCATTTGCCCATTAAGGTAAACACCTCTTGAAAGAGCTGCAATTCTTGAAAGAGTTGCTGTATCATCTGTTGGCAAAATAAATATGATTGTAAATAAAGTATACCATAGAAAGATTTATTTTAATCAATAATTAATATAATTGTCAGCGTACCACTATAAAATATATAATGAGGATGATAATCCATGTTAGAAAGCATACTGAAGCTAATATTTTATACAACATTATATAGGACTGTTATTGCCAATATTCTCTCAATAAGCTCTTAGCTTTCGTTTGGCCCAGTAATAAGTTACAGGCTATTTATATAGCCTCAGCACAGATCCAGCTCTTAATATCATTCAGAGATGACACCAAATTTTGCATAGGGTGAATTTCAGTTTCAAATGGCATAAAGAGATCTGTGTCCTACTCCCTCCCCTCTTCTCCTTGGATATTTGTAACTAGTCTATGACTTTAGGAGGCAGGGTTAATACTTGTCATCTACATACTGTGTCAGTTAGCTAACACTTGCTCTGCATCAGTTCCTAATTTTGTGCAGAATTAACATGTACCCTTTGTGCTTTCTAGTATTTATTTCAACTATAAATACTTTGGGGTGCCTTCTGTGTTTCAGAAAACATAACAAGACAGTTGTGTAGACAGTTCTTAATTTGGCTGTTGTCTTACTTGTTTTCTAGGACTTTGCTGCTTATTTGGCATTTTGTGGTATTGTTCTCCATAATGCTCAACTTTATGAGACTTCACTGCTGGAGAACAAGAGAAATCAGGCAAGTCTGATTACTAAAGAGAGAGTATAGTAATTATTTTTTAAAAAATTGTTAAATTTTTATTCAGGTAATATATGTGTATGATTAAAAATCCACTTAATATTTTAACTGTATGTTTTAATAATTCTTTCCACTTCCTGTAATCCATGCTCTGTTGCTTTATCAGTATTAGAAAATAGTCATTAACTTAACAGATGTGGATTTATTTGATTTACATCACTCTTTACTTGCCATTATCCTATTCCACTAGTATCATTATATCTGTTTTAAGTTACTGATGGGTTGCATTTATAATGTTAGATAAGGCTTTTAGTTCTTGCCTTATCAACTAGAGACCTCATCTGTTGATTCTTTGCTTTGTAAAATGAAGATCTTAACATCTCTCATCTTTCCTTCTCAACTGCGATGCCTTACCTCTGCTTTTGTCATCAGACCTTTTTCTATTGCCCACATTGATAACATATTTTTAGTAAGCTTTGTCTAGTTTAATTCTAAAGTTGTGATTTAAAATAAAGTGCTTATAAGTACCATGACTATGTAAATATTGTTCATGTTGCACTTGCTATACAACTTTTAGTTTTTCCTGATGTTTCTGAATTCCATTCCTTTTTTTCCCCTTGAACTGTTTCCCTGAGCATAGAGCAACACTCATGTTGTTGGTTTTTCCCCAGACGCCCCATTATTTAGGCATTCTTTTGAGTTCTTTTTCTTGGAGATCTCCAAGTTGAGGTTTTCCACAATTTCTCTTCCAAGCTGAACCATATCTCCCCTGGCTGCTGCAAAGGTGTCATCATAGAATTTTCCTTTACTGCTTTCTCAGAAGGGCTCCACTGGTTGTCCACTGGATCCCATAACTTCTTATTTCTCAGTTTATGCCCTTGTTTTATTGCAGCACAATCTCAATTTCTTGAGAAAGAGTATTGATCAGGTAAGTGCGTATTATATCATCCCTACCAGTTTGGCTGGGTATAAAATTCTAAACTGAAAAATCACTTTTTCAGAATTTAGGGGTGGTACTTTGTCTTCTGACTAGCATCCCAGTTGTTCTGATCCTTGGCTCTGTAGGTGTTGTGGTTTGGTTTGGTTTTTGTATAAGCCTTTCAGATCATTTCCCTGCCTCTGCTTTTTATCACTTAATTTTATAATATGACTCTTTTTCATTCATCATACTGGTATCTGTTCATCCCTTTCCACCTGGAGGCTTAAGCCCTTCCATTCTATGTAATTATTTTTCATTATTTCTTTGATAATTCCTCTCTCCCACCCTATATTTTCTCTTTTTAGGTCTTGTGTTAATAAGGTATTGGATCTTCCATTGCCTTCACTTGCAGTATCTTCCTACCTTTTCTTCCTGCCCTGTTCTTGCCACCCATTAATCTAATCTCCATTTTTACAAACACAGCTGCAAGCCGGTTACTTTCTTCCTGCAGTCCATCATAGTCCAAACTGCTTCCCAAGACATACAAGGGATATGAAGTTCTTTTTCCACTCAACTCTGCAATTTCATCTCCCCAGCTCTCCTCCTCACACTCTATACCTCTCTTAAAACTTGATCAAGACTTGTAGTTCATGCTACCCTCTCTCAATTTAGTTGCTTTTGACTGAAATATTTCCCTTTCCCACTTCACCTGAATGATTCCTGCTTATCTCTCAGGCCTCAGCTAGCTTAGCATCTCTTCAAATAAATTTTCTATGATACCCTTTCCTCTTGCTCTTCACACAAATATTCTGTGAGTTTAGAAGACATTCTGTGTAATTCAAAAGAAAGTGATATTATCAGGAAAAAACACAAAAGGAGCTTTCCAAACTTTGTCTGCTTTGGACAGTATTTACTGTGCTATATGAAAATGCTGATAAATGTTGATCTCAGAAGCTTGGAACAGCAGCAATGTCAGTGTGTTTTATGTATCAGATAATATTCAAAATGCTTTATGAATGTTTGCTTATTTAGTGCTCAAAATAATCCTATGATTATTTTTATTATTTTTCTTATCCCCATTTTTAAGGAGCTGGCCCTACATCACAAAGCTCGCAGGAAGGGAAAGCAGGATTAAAAACTGACGACTCTGGTTTCAGAGTCTGTGATTGTAATCACTATACTAACTATACTAACAATCAGAATGGAAGCCTTGGTAGGAAATAGAGACTTACATATTTAATACTTGAACGCAAACTTGGTTGTAACTTGTTAGATTATAAATAAACAACTTGTAAACTGTATAAGTCACTGTATTTAATGATACTTTAACAATTACAAACAATTACTAAATAATAGCCTCTAAATTTTCTTGTCTAGGTGCTGCTTGACCTTGCTAGCTTAATTTTTGAAGAACAGCAATCATTAGAAGTAATTCTAAAGAAAATAGCTGCCACTATTATCTCTTTCATGCAGGTGCAGAAATGCACCATTTTCATTGTGGATGAAGATTGCTCCGTGAGTACAGAGTATGACTTCTTTATTTTTAGAAAGACAGAAACTTATGTTCCTTAAAGCACTGCTTCTAAACCTCATGTTAGCCTCAAATCTCTCGCTAAAACCCAACTGTTTATGGTTGTTTATGCAAAGCCAATCAGAGTAGGAGCTGTTCTGATTGAAAGGGGGTAGAGGTGAGGTTGGAGAATGCCTGCCATGCACCCTTTCACCTTTGTGTCCCTCCACTAAGTGGTTACCATGGGAATATCCATGTGCTGCTTTTGTCAATGGCTATACTCTCTTGATAGAGAAATACATTGTCATTATGGTATGCAGATCTTTTGTGATCAGGAATAGTGGTGCCCTGGTTGCTGTGAACAAGTAGACCCCCCTTCTGAATGGGTTGGGAATAAAATTTTCTTTTTCTCAGAAATCGTGTACAAACCAAAAGTCATGGCCCAATAGAAGCAATATTATTAAATTAGTCCTAAATCCTTTACCAACAATGGAAAACCACTACACTGTTCTAATTGGTGGATTTCAATCCATTGATGTGTAATGTAAAGAAATAGATGTGTATGGAAGATGGAGTATTCTCACAGAGTGCTGGTTACTTCTAGACAGGCCAATTGAGTCGTGATTAGAATAAGAACTTCTAGCCTGAAGCACTTTTCCTCTATGTAGTTTCTTTCCCTTTTTGACCTAGCAACCACTGTTTTTGGGATATGTCTTTTTGATGTCGTCATTTATTTTCTTTTTCCTTTAGACTCTGAGAATAGGCTTTTCATTCGTGGGTTAGGAAAGAGAGTGGGGATCACCACTTGTGTAGTCTGCTATAATCCATATGTGATATCCGAATTGATGGGTTTTTTGGGAAGTAGAATAATAAAAGACATGTGATACTTATTACAATTTTAAAAATTGTTATAGATAGTAAGACTGTACTATATGACATTATGTGAATTATTCTGTGGTGTATGGTGTCTAAGTCTCATTAACTGGATAGCAAATGAGAATTTGATATCAGTCTTCTCTTCGATACTATTTCATATTTTCAGTCAGTTATAATGTCCTTAAATATGGAGATGATTACCAGCAGCTATCCTTTTAAAGTTCAGGTCAGAACTCATTAATGCAGTAAGTCAATTTACAATTTTTGCTCTGTGACCTGTTCTTTAGCATTTAATTTTTGAAAGTTACACGCAAATCACTCCTTTTTTAGACAGCTTAAATATCACTTTAATTAACATTCAGCTCATACGTCTACCAGTTCACATCTGCTATGGCAGCAACTGACTTGGATCATTGGTGCTTTGAAGTATAGCTTAACAATAGGAACGTTAATACATTTTGTTCACTTTTTAACAGCTTAATTTGTTGGGTTTAGGAATCAAGTGGCTTGATGTTCATTTATATAACAACTTTTTGTTTAAAAATATTGCAACAAAAAAAAAAAAAAAATTAAAAAAAAATATTGCAACAACATGAGCAAAAATCACATGTAAGTAAGAAAAAAAAAAAACAGCACTCAGTTCTGTCCCCAAATTAAACTAATATCATTGTTTTATTTCTGTGTTTACCTTCAATTCTTTTTTCAGTTGTAAATGTAGCATGGGTATGAATATGTATTCTGTTTTTAAATGTAACTTTCAAAATACTTCTGTGTTGCTGATCTTCACAATTATTTTAATGACCTCATAAAATATATCTTTTAAGAAAATCTATCAACAGCAATCACTATATTCATAAAAGCTAGAACATGTGGATTTTGAATAAATATGGAGAAAATTTGAAGCTCACATATTCATTAACACCTGGTAGAAAAACAAAAAGCAAGTAGTACACAAATGAGCATTTTTGCAAGTGAATATCAGAAACTGGTAAGAACATGGGAAGCCAACTTAAGGCTGTCAGGCAGTGAGTACTTGTGTCAGTTTAGTCTAAGTTGAAAAATAACATTAGTATTGTCGTCTTCCCTCAGTTGCACAGACTTCCATGTGTGTATCTAAATAGATTTCATTACATTGTCAAACTTATTTCTCAGTCGGTGTTCTCCTGTGTTTTCAGGATTCTTTTTCTAGTGTGTTTCACATGGAGTGTGAGGAATTAGAAAAATCATCAGACACTTTAACAAGGTAAAGTAACTTCTTCTCTGTCTTTATCATAAGTCCAGCTGGCCCTTGAACAACTATTGGAACTGTGTGGGTTCACTTACACATGGATTTTTTTCAATCAGTAAATACAGCACACTACTATAAATGTATTTTCTCTTCCTTATGATTTTCTTACTAACATTTTCTTTTCTCTAGCTTACTTTATTTTAAAAATACAGTATAAAGGGGTGCTGGATGGCTCAGTAGATTAAGCATCCAACTCTTGATTTGGCTTAGGTCATGATTCCAGGATTGTGGGATCGAACCCTGCATCAGGCTCTACACTGAGCATGGAGCCTGCTTAGGATTCTCTCACATAGTAAAGTGTGAAAATACTTTACTATTTGATAACAAAGTTCAAGTTTTGTTTTTTTCTCTACAGTTGACCTAATGGAGAATTCTCAATATAGTGAATGGTGTCAAAATTTGTACAATCCTGGGTACAGCATTTTTGTGGACTGGCTCATTAAGGCCCATAAGTCTAAATTGCAGTTATATTTTTCATTGCATATTGGATGCTCACTGGAAATTTGATAGGCTTCTGAACAAACTTCTCTTCAAGTGTTCTGTGATTTGGAATCAGCCACAGGGATTTAATAACAGAAGGAAGCCTCTGGTCCCTGTCACACCAATGCATATATATATATGTATATATATACATATATACATATATATATATATATATATATATACCCTAAGGCTAGAATTAAGCCAGATCTGTATTGTAGCTCATGTGTTTGTCTTGTTTTTTATAATTTAAAAATTTGTATTAACTTTTTTGTTGTGGTTATCACTTGGATAATAGAATATATTTATAGGATTGGGGTGAGAGATATCATTGCCCCAATTTTATTTGTGCTTTTTGAAGAATTTTGAAAAGGACTTAAATTAAACTACCAAATGTTCTCAGATTCCCTTTCCACCCTTAGTAAAAAACTGGTGTTGTTTGCTTAAGTGATAGTCTATTCTGAGGAATACAGTTTGCAGGATAAAGTGTCAAGAATTCTTGGGTATAGATATTTATCACAGTTTTCATTGTTCATTTGTTTGTTATTTCACCCCCTTAAATAACTTATCTCAAATTTCTCAAAATTATTTTATCCCTAATTATCAATGTTATATCTAAAAGCCTCATATGATCATGGAAATAGAATATTGTCCTGTCTTTACTATTTGATATTAAAGTTTCATATTTTCTACTACAGTTAACCTATTAGAGAATTATTTCATGTAGTGAATGGTATTGCTGTTAGTACAGTCCTCAGTGACAATAAGTCCTTTGAAAATAACCTCTATGCAAATCTAAACTATATATAGAATATTTTGTAAGATAACTGGCCTGGTCTCTTCAAAAAGTCAGTGTTATTGAACAAAATGGAGGGAAGGACTATCTTAGACATGCCAGCCAAATGCAATGCATGAATCTTGGTTATTCTGATTAAAACAACTATCAAAGAACAAGTTTTTGAGAACAATTGGAAATCTGAATATGGATTGGATAGTAGATGCTGGTGGGGAATTATTGTTACTTTTCTTTGTAATTAGGAAGATACAGTGGTGAGTAGGAAACTTTTTATTTTTAGGAGCTTCATCCTGGTGTATTTATGGATGAGGTATTAGAATGTCTTTTTTAACCTTACTTTAAAATGCTTCAACCAAAGGTAAATGAGTAAGTATATCTACATTGTTTTTACATTTTTTTTAATGTTTATTTTTTTTAAGACAGAGACAGAGCATAAGCAGGGGAGGGACAGAGAGAGAGGGAGACACATAATTCGAAGCAGGCTCCAGGCTCTGAGCTATCAGCACAGAGCCCGATGCGGGGCTTGAACCCACGAACCGTGAGATCGTGACCTGAGCCAAAGTCGGACGCTCAACTGACTGAGCCACACAGGCGTCCCTAAGTATATCTAAATTTAATATATTTAAACAAGTGGATATATTCACACATACATATGTAGGTAAAACAAATGTGGTAAAACATTAAAAATTGTGGAATCTAGAATAGGATATTCATTTTACTTTTAACTTTTTTTGTATATTTCAAAATGTTCATAAAAATTGGAGGAAAATGTTTATAGTAAAATAATATTTTTGTAATAAATTCAATAAAACAAATTAGAAATGGAAAATCTCTGTAGATCATGTAAAATAGAATTGACTGAGTTTACAGCTATCTTCAAGAACAGAGTACTTCAGGGGCACCTGGGTGGCTCAAATGGTTAAGCGTCCGACTTCGGCTCAGGTCATGATCTCACGGTTCGTGGGTTTGAGCCCTGTGTTGGGCTCTGTGCTGACAGCTAGCTCAGAGCCTGGAGCCTGCTTCAGATTCTGTGTCTCCCTGTCTCTCTGACCCTCCCCTGCTCATGCTGTCTCTCTCTCAGAAATAAATACACATTTAAAAATAAAAAATAATAAAGAACAGAGTACTTGAGTGCACAGCCTGCTTTTGTTCAAACCCTCCTACTACTGACTCCCAGAGGGTCTTGCCGACCTGTCTTTCATTCTCTTCTGCCCGCATCCTCTCTCCCATTTCCTTTAGGTCTTCCCTCATCAGGATGGAGACACCGTTGACCATGGTGACTTAAAGTTTAGTTGGTTAGGTGATTCTATGTAAATCAAAACTCATAAGTTCTAGACTATTATTTTTAACAGTGTGATACAGTGAAAGACCTTTTCTCTTATTAAAAGACTTTGAGGAGGGGCGCCTGGGTGGCTTAGTCGGTTAAGCGTCCGACTTTCACTTAGGTCATGATCTCGCGGTTCGTGGGTTCGATCCCCGCGTTGGGCTCTGTGCTGACCGCCAGCTCAGAGCCTGGAGCCTATTTCAGAGTCTGTGACTCCCTCTCTCTCTGACCCTCCCCTGCTCACGCTGTCTCTCTCTCTCTCCTAGAAATAAATAAAAATATTTAAAAAAACAAAACAAAAAAAAGACTGAGGAATTCTCAAAGGGGCAGGTGTAATTTGGGGGCAGATGGGGAATTCATCTGACTCAGAAGGTACACCTGACTCAGGCCTTTATTGCTAACTTGGGCCTGGGGTGCGTAGTCAAAGTAGATAAACCATGGTATCTCTACCTGAGATTTTTCAGCTATTTCGAGTTTTTGTTTCACAAAATTAAAAGTCAGTAACTGGCCTTCATTTCCCTCTTGGCATTGCTGGTCATGACAACTTTATATCTCATTTCCATGTATAGTCTTTTCCTAAGCCCCTCTATGTGCTGTTATATTTTCTGACATATTTGACATTGTTTAATTAGTTTTGGGTCCTTTTTGTATGTGTGATAATAAGCCCATGTCCTGGTGAGTATGTGTGTTTCCCTTTTAATAAATGCTGGTATCTACTGCCTAGATCAATTATGAAGCTTCTTATTCTTAGGAGGAGCATTGATATAATTTTGACGTTATGATGCTATTACATTTTTTTGCTTTTTAGAAAGAATGTTTTAGAAAGCTTCTAGATAAGACACATGTAAATATTTGATTCTTTTACTTTTCAGATTGCATAATGAATTGCTATATATAGACAAATATATATTTAATGTATTTACATATATCTACAGGTATGATACTCTATATTAAAAGCATAAAATGATGGAAGTATATATGATATAAATGATGTGAAAATGACATAAATGATATTATGACCATAGGTGAAATTTAAGAAACAAATGAACCAAGAAAAAGACAAACCAGAAAATAGGCTCAAATACAGACAACTAACTGGTGGTTGCCAGAGGGGAGTTGGGTGAAATAGATAAAGGGGATTAAGAGTTCATTCATCTTGGGACACCTTGGTGGCTGAGTCGATTAAGCATCTGACCCTTGATTTTGGCTCTGGTCTTAATCTTGGAGCTCACGAGTTCAAGGCCCACATTGGGCTCTGTGCTGACAATGAATGTTTGGCCTGCTTGGGATTCTTTCTCTCCCTCTTTCTTTGGCCCCCTCCCCGCCCCCCAATAGATAAAACTTAAAAAAAAAAGTTTATTTGGGGCTCCTGGGTGGCTCAATTGATTGAGTGTCTGACTTCGGCTCAGGTCATGATCTCGCAGTTTGTGAGTTCAAGCCCCATGTCAGGCTCTGTGGCTGACAGCTCAGGGCCTAGAGCCTGCTTCCGATTCTGTGTTTCCCTCTCTCTCTGCCCTACCCTTGCTCATGCTCTGTGTATCTCTCTCTCTCTCTCTCAAAAATAAATAAACATTAAAAAAAAAAGAGTTCATTTATCTTGATGAGCACTAAGAAGCAAATAGGATTGTCAAATCACTACATATTGTATACCTGAAACTAATATAACACCATGTTAATTATACTTGAATAAAAAAAGTAAAATAAAAAAGTATAAAATGATGAGTTATATACATTTACCTTTGAATATTGAACAGCTGTATATATCTGTATAATTACATTTTATGTATTGGGATTTTGATTTTTATTACAAATTCAGCTGGTCTTCTAATTTCTAATGAAAGTTCAACAAGCCCAGTGATTTGGTATGATAGTGACCTCTACTGGTAAATATGCATTTTAAAAAAGTGTAGTCTTATTTATTTGATTTATTTCTGATAAACAGTGTGTTCCCTCTCTGTAGGCAAAATGGAAGATATTTTCCATTTATTTTTGTCATCATCCCAAGATACTTATAAAGGATAAATAAATAGGTCAGTGGGATTATCTTAAAAGAGAGTGATTTAATGGATCATTTTAACCAATTCATTAACTAATTCTATAGCATTAAAAAGTATTCACTGATGCCTTATGTCAGCTAAACATTTAAAGTTAGCCTTTTAGGGGCGCCTGGGGAGCTCAGTCAGTTAAGCGTCGGACTCTTGATTTCAGCTCAGGTCAGGATTTCCCTGTTGTGCAAGCCCCACACTGGTCTCCTTGCTGGTTGTGGGTCCTGCTTGACCTTCTGTCTCTCCCTCTCCCTCTGCCTTTCCTGCTCCTGTGTGCTCTCTCTCTCTCTCTCTCTCAAAATGATACAATAGAAGGACTTTTAGAGATATAAATCATTTTTATTTTTATAAAAGTTAGATATTAGGCCTAATTTTGCCAAACCTCTGAATTAAAAATAATGTGTAGTGACTTTAGCATTTTGAAAAAGGACTAAAGTGATATTGACACTTCACCAGCAGACTCTTTATTATGCTTCTAAAGTTGTTTGTTGATAGAATTCAGGACTCCCTAATTCTCATTATTAAACACTTTGCCAATCCAAACTCTCTCCCATGAGATGAAATGCTAGGCAATTTTATGATGTCAGCAGTAAGCAAATCATTCTTTTAGGCCATTCATTTCCATTGAAAAGCATGGCTCATTTGGTATTTGTCCAACCAAACTACTAATTATTTTTTATAAATTAACACATTGAAGACAGTTTTGAAATGTTGTGTAAAACTAAAAATAAATATTCAGGGTGAACATTATACATAATTATTAGAATCATATCATCAGTGACATAAAGCACAGTAAAGCTGTTGTGAGTTGGGTCGCCTAAGAATTTCAGAAGGGAAGCTCATCTCCAGGTGGTGGGAGGTTTAGGAATCTCTGCAGTTTGTTTCATAAGAGCCATGCAATTAGAAGGGAAAAAATGATATTTTAGTGCTATAATTCCATTAGTAGTTAACTTGATGTTAATTTATAAATGCACATTTTTATCATAATAGGAAAAATGCATAGAATTAATTCTTTAAGCTCACTTTCTTGTAATATGTATACTAGCTAATACTTGTTATTGATATTTATATATTAGAAAACACAATTATAGTAAATACAGCAACACTATAAAAAGTAGTAAAAAGGTTTTTACAATTTAAAAAACTGTGGATACTAAGTAGATGAAGGGCATAGATTCTGAAGTCAGACTGACTGAAATTTAAGTTCCATCTTTTACTAGCTGTAGGGCTTTTCGTAAATGATTTAACCCCTCAAAGCCTCAGTTTCTTCATCTGTAAAATGGGGATACTGATAGCAAGATTATAATAAGGACTAAATGAGATAATATACACAAAATGCTTCAGAAAATTTCTGGCACATGTTAAGTTCTAAGTCAGTGTTAGCTGTTATTTCCATGTCTCTTTGGTGTGTTTTTCTGTCTTTGGTTTACATAGCCTACAGTGATTCCCATTTAGTTCTAAAGCACAGAAATTTCTCAGTGTGTCCAAGCTCCATGCTCCTGTCTTCCCAAGAATATATTCATATACATCCATTGATACTCACTGTGCAAAAAGCAGTGGATGTCACAGTTAGCCCAAGTTCTCCATGAAGCAAATGCCAAGACTAGATTAAATGTGCAAGAAATTTATTAGGGGACCCCCCCCTGTGAGGATAAAAGGGGACAGAGCTAGGACAGCTGTGGACCTGCACACAAGTCTGATCTAGATTAAAAAAAGGGGAAAAGGGGGCGTGGGGGGGATGGGCAAAATGGGTGAAGGGGTGGGAAGGACAGGCTTCCAGTTATGGAATGAGTAAATCATGGGGATTAAAGGCACAGTCTATGGAGTATGGTCAATGATATAGTAATAGTGCCTGTATGGTGGTGGATGGTGGCTACACTTGTGGTACACAGCATAACATACAGAATTGCTGAATCCTGGGGTGCCTGGGTGGCTAAGTCAGTTGAGCATCCAACTTTCGGGTCAGGTCATGGTTTGTGGATTCGAGCCCCACATCAGGCTCTGTACTGACAGCTCAGAGCCTGGAGCCTACTTTGGATTCTGTGTCTCCCTCTCTTTCTGCTCCTCCCCGGTCATGCTCTCTCACTGTCATCTCAAATAAAAATAAACATAAAGTTTAAAAAAAAAGTATCATAAAATATCTCAAAGCAGAAAAAGAAGAGAGAAAAGCTTAATAAAATCCTTTCAAGCATGTTTGATTTTCCCCTTGGTTTGAAATGTGTAAACGATTATTGGGGTGGATACAGCAAATAACTGAGGAGGTAAAACAGACAGGGACTAGACCTCAGTCATTCTATAATGTGATGAAAAAATAAGACATGGAAGAAAATTTGTATGGATTTTACATAAATGACACAAAAATCAACCTGCCCATTAACGGTGGTAATAGCATTACTTACGACATTTTAAAACTTGTTTTAGAAATCTGAATAATTATGGGTCTTCATCTTTTCAAAACATTTAAATTGTAGTAACTACCAAAGTTGTAAGTCATCACATTTAAAGTGCATTTTCCAATAAGACACACACTTTGCCCTACCATTTAAGACTAGCATGTATTTCTTATCATTTATTTAACTCTGTTTTGCCCATGTTTTTTCACTTCACGGAAAGAACTCATATCTGTTATTTCTGCAGGGAGCGTGATGCAAACAAAATTAATTACATGTATGCTCAGTATGTCAAAAATACTATGGAGCCACTGAATATCCCAGATGTCAGTAAAGACAAAAGATTTCCCTGGACAGTAAGTAAACCAGTTTTAAATTTGGAGCTCCAACACTGTTTTCCCATTAGATCTGCACTTATAGGGGCGCCTGGGTGGCTCATTCAGTTAAGCCTCTGACTTTGGCTCAGGTCATGATCTCACTTTTCGTGGGTTCGAGCCCCGCGTCGGGCTCTGTGCTGACAGCTCAGAGCCTGGAGCCTGCTTTGGATTCTGTGTCTCCCTCTCTCTCTGACCCTCCTCTGCTCATGCTGTCTCTTTCTCTCTTTCTCTCTCAGAAATAAATAAAACATTAAAAAAAATAAAAATAAAAAGATCTGCACTTACAGGGACTCTTCAGCAGAAGGTCTTAGAACTGACTCTTTGTAGTGATCTGATTAAGGAAAGTAAAATAGTTTATAACATGTCTGAAGAGATGGTTAGCTGTACTCCCATATTTTCCCCTGTACTTGTATCAATTTTTAATGTGTAATAATTATCAACTAATCGGAGGCAATTTATTACCTACTTAATGTCAGTGACGTTTCTTAGATAGTATTGCTATAATTCTTGAGTTTAGCCTAAAAAATTAAGTTCAGTTTGGCTCGATCTTACATAGCTGGTAATCTACTTCAGTGAGCAGCTCTGTGGAGAAATGAGTATGTTTTCTTTGACAGCAAAGCTACAAAGGTCAGTGTCTCAGACGCTGAAAACTTTGAGTTGTAGTGTTTTCTCTCCTCTCTGGAAAAGCTTCACACTTTGAGGCAGCTGCCTTGATTTTGTTATTTGCATATCTAGAAGACCTCATAGAACTTTAGCAATATGAGCAATACAAACAGTGGCAGTTCTAAAGAAAGACAGGTTTGTAACATTAGTATACTAGGTAGTGTAGTGCTTTGGGGATTTTTGGATTGTGAAGTTATTGAGACATCTGCTATATCAGTATAGTAAATAACTGCATAAATATTTGCTTAGTATTACCAAAAGTTGCTTGGAAAGTTTAGAATGAAAAAGAAGGAAATATAGGATATTTATTACATTTAATAAAGACTAATTGCTTTATATTGTATTTATGTGAATTTCATTATAATTTGCACATTTTCTGCCCTCTGATGTTATCTCAAACTAATAAAAGATGAATAGATTAGTGGTTTCAGATACCCAGTATAATTTATATAGCACCTAATGGGCAAATCGGTCTCTTCATAATTTGAACCTGTTTTATTTTTGTTTTTGTTTAGAATGAAAACACAGGAAATGTCAGCCAGCAATGCATTAGAAGTTTGCTTTGTACACCTATAAAAAATGGAAAGAAGAATAAAGTGATAGGTAAACCCTTTTACTAACCCATACTCTGTACATATTAAATAAAAAAATGTATTTCCAGAAGCTTCTTTCCTTCAAGTGTAAATTTAAGAAATGTGTGAAAAAAGATAAAAATTGGAAGGAATAATTAAAGAATTTTAAAATACTTTTACAGTGATAAATGTTGACAGACTTGTTAAGTATCTTAACTACAATATATTTTTGTAATTATTATAATGCTATTTCAGCAGAATTTTTGTTGAAAAATGATGAGTTAAAAATTCGTAGACTGAGAAACATTAGGTTGATAATGTGTGTTATTTTAGTTTATCACTTCATGGCTTCTGATTTTCTGTTAAATATGTGGTTTAGATTTAAGGAAGTATTCATTCGTTCAAAAATATTTATTGAGCACGTCACTGTTCTAGGATGTGGAACAAACTGCCAAGCAAAGTGGAAATCCTTGCCCTCAGGGAGCTTACATTCTTACATTAAGCTTATAGAACAATGTCTACTTCAGGAATTCTGGAAGAATGCATCCTCAGGAAAAAATGGAATGATGTTTCCTATTATTGACATTTTTGTTTCTTGGCATTGCAAGTTATATTAAGAGTAGTACAGAAAATATGAGATTTTATATGTCAATCGTGTATGATTGACATGTGAAAATAGTCTGAACTGTTAACATTGTCCTGAGAACTTGGAAATAAAGGAAACACGAAGACTTCCTAAAGGCTAAATTTTTAAATAGAAAGCCTAATGCAGCAAGGTTTAGAAATGTAAGTTTACCTTAAAAAGTCGGAATAGTTTCTAGGTTGCAAGACTTAACTGTAATTTTATTGAAAGAGGGTATCAGAAAGGTGGGGGAGGAGAGGTATTATTAATGAAAATAGAAAAAAAAAAGGCAAATATGGAAAAGTACCTATCCAGGCTCCGTCCAGGGGTCAGGGAATCTTTGCCCCTCAAGTGCAGATAATGTATTAAGTTGTATCAGTCTGGGTAGAGTATTCTGACCACATGGTGAAGCCATTGCTTAGGAGGCCGCGGATGTAGCAGGTTGTAGCCGGCAATGATTCCAGTTCCTTTGCTGGTGCTCATCCTTCCTGTGAGACAGATACACCAGGGAATGCTGTGAAGCATCCCACCAATCAGACTTCCTTGTGCTGATTCTTTTTTTTCTCAGGATAGCTTAACTCACAGGGAGAGAACACATTATTCATATACTCAAAAATATATGAATGGCTTTGACAGCTGTTTCTAATTATAAATCAGCGAACAGGACTTGAGGCAATGGGTTGGTCTTGCAGGTGCACGTACTCCTATTCCCTGGGACGGATCTGTTTCATGCTGTACATGAATATTCTGCTGTTAAATACCAGCCTTGTGAACTTAGTTACTCTGACTCTACCCCCAGAGAAATGTCTCTGTCTTTAGTCATGGTAATCTAGTTTCTAAGGCTACAAGTCTAGGAGTCAGATTCTGACCATCCTGTGAATTGCCTACTCAAGTCTCTCAGAAACCAGCCTGGAGACTCCCGGCCAGGCTGTGTGGTCACCTGCACTCTACCCAGTTCTCAGAGAGAAAAATAGACGCTGCTGAATACACTGTATGGGAGTTTTCTTTTCAAGATTATCATCCATGAGTTTGCTAACATAAGCAATAAGGAAACAGACAAGAGTGCCTTACAATAGGATACCAAGTAAATGTTATATTATAAAATTTTATTTCCTCGGGAGTGCAAGGTGAAAACTGCATTGTAAATATTACACTTTTTTAAAAAGCCCTGACCTTTGAAAATGTGAAGTGAAATTCCAGAAGGGATGCATTATTTACTAGTAAGTTTTCATAAGAAGGACTGAGTGGCAGCTGGCTACATCAGGTCACATCTTTGCTTTTCCTCAGCAGCATCTCTTTGGAATAATAATCGGGAATGGGGAGTAGCTGGAGGAAGTTCTCCATCAGGCTTTGTCATCACTTGACAGAAATGCAAGCTGGTTCAGTGAAGTGCAAACAGCCCCAGGTGGGGAGGGGACTCAGCATCCTTTGGGCTCCACTCTTCCTTTAACCATTTAAAACACGAGCACATTACTCCCCTCTGCAGAGTTGAACCTTTCAGATCTGTTCAGAATTCATATTCTGTGATCCTGTCACGTTTCCTTCAAGTGAGCAAAAAAAAAAAAAAAAAAGAAAAAGAAAAGAAAAGAAAAATACAAGTTGAAGTGATCAGACTTGGCATACATTTTGTGTCACCCTACTTGATAACAGAGCCAAAAACAAGCAAATGTTATCTTTGGAGAGGAAAAATTCCCTATTAATAAAAAGAAAGAAAAAAAATGGGGGTTTTGGTGGGGGCTCAACTTGATTCCAAATAAGAGAAGGAACATTTCCAGCACTCCCTGCTGTTTAAAATTTGAATTCTCGCCTGTGTTTTATGCCCACAGATGCGGCATGGAAAATGTCATGGCTGTAGATAATTTTTCTTACATATCACAGGCCAGATTCCTCTATTATGTAATTCTAATAGAGAATCCCCATAGAGTTTCATGCGGAAAGGCAGACAGGCCCATGTGTTTTTTGTAATCTTCCTTCCCCCTCATATTTTTCCGTTACTGACATTTAGATGAAATTATAGACATTAGACCAGTGAGGGGCCTGTTGTATTCCCTGAGGCATTGTTTCATATCAAATGTTTTCTTAGTGCTCTGGCTAATAGAGAGTGTTTCCAGAGTTTTGCTTCCAGTGCTATTAAAGAAATATTTTTCTCATTCAATATTCATTTATTTTAACCAGCTATTTCCCGTATTTATTAGGCTACATATGCCTTTTTCCCAAATCATAATTACCAGAAATTCTTATTCCTATTTTCCATGCTGATTTCAGGACAGATTTTGAAGAAATAAGTCCCATTACCATCCCACTGCCAAATGTTTAGAACATCTCCACTTTTAATAACTTACATTTTTATCTCTTTGTTAATGAAAAATATAACAAAAATTATAGTGTTATATTACACATTGCTTGATTGTGAAATATGAGAAATATGTACAGTTGACTCCTCATGGGGATTAGTGGGGACTGACACCCCCTTGCCTGCAGTCTAAAATCTATGTATGACTTTTAAATTCCACGAAACTTAACTAGTAATAGCCTGCTGTTGACCTAAAGTCTCCCCAGTAACATAAACAGTTGATTAACACATATTTTCTTTATTATAGGTATTATATACTGTATTCTTACAATAAAGTAAGCTAGGGAAAAGAAAATATTATTAAGAAAATGATAGAAAATAGAAAACACATTTATAGTACTGTCCTGTATTTATCAAAAAAATCCACATATAAGTGGACTTCGCCATTCCAATCCATGTTGTTCGAGGGTCAGCTGTATTTCTTAACTGAATGTATTTTATAAACTGATTACTATCCTAACCCCCGCTCATATATGTGTTGCAATTTGATTCTAAGGCATAAATAAATATTCTAAAATTATATGTTTACATTTGACACTGCTTCACTTTATTTTTCATATTAAATGTTACCATTTGGCAATATCATTAACTGCTCATTTGCTTACAGAAATATTTGCTGGGATTTTCCTAATTCAAGTATAATTAAACTGTGCAGTGTCATCCATCGTACACATTGCTTGTAATGCTTCAAGGATCTGGGTTTTTTCTCAGAGAATTGGAAATTATGCTTAGTTATAATAAGTTCCAGGCAATGAGACTGTAGGGACACTAATAATTGGAAGAAAAAATTAAACTAAGAGTGTATAGGTTAAAATTATAAAAGTCAAAATATATGAAATAAAAATAAATCTAAGGATTATAGTTATAAGAAATTATTGAAAAAATAGCAAGAAAAACTTCATAGTAGCACTGGAAAACAGAAGCTTACCTTTACTGGACTAGAAAGAGAGGGAATTTCTGGAAGATGTGAAGTATGTACCATTTGTAAGAACACATTTTACACGAAATGGGCAAAATTTGAATAGAGATGACAATGTTAATATCAGATAAGGTCAAATTTAAGTTAAAAACATAATGTAAAGGGTTGCTTCAAAATTTATTAAAGTTAAAATCCACCAGTAAAGTGTAATTGTTATAAATACTAATAAACTAATATCATTGATATATAAAAGCCAAAGCTATTAAAAATAAAGAGAGAAATGGACAAAATGGTAGTCAATGGAAGTCTTTGGAACACATCTGATAGAGAGTTAAAGTAGAGGAAAAAATAAGGAAACATTAGAATTAAGATAAAAAATGAAGTGGATTGGGGTGCCTGGATGGCTCAGTTGGTTAAGCATCCAACTTCAGCCCAGATCATGATCTCGTGGTTGGTGGGTTCAAGCTCCACGTCAGGCTCTATGCTGACAGCTCAGAGCCTGGAACCTGTTTCAGATTCTGTGTGTCTCCTCTCTCTGCCCCTCACCCACTCGTGCTCTGTCTCTCTCTGTCACAAAAATAAATAAACTATAAAAAATAATTTTTGAAAATGAAGTGGATTTAATTGGCAAATATAGATTTACTTACATATTTCATAATCTAAAAATAGAAATTCCTGTCAAATATCCATAAGAAACTTACAGATATTAATGATACACACATATATAACACAAACTAGGTCATTTCTGAAAAATAGAATTGATGGCTACTCTCATAAATCACAATGCATTGGAATTGGAAATGCATAATAAAAGGATAAATGGGAAGGAAAATTCTCACTTAGAAACTGAAAAGCATTCTCCTTTGTGATGATCAAGAAGTCAAAAGCCAAAATGAGAGTACCTCATTTTAGAAAATTTTTGACTTTATCAATGTAACATAAAAATTCAAGGTATATGGTTAAAGCTACACTCTATCTGTAAAGAGAGATACAGCTTTAACTCATTGTTATTAATTAAGAAATAATAAAGTTACTTGAACTAAACATTCAATTGAAGAAATTAGAAAAACAACACCCTCTTTTCTCACCTTCTATGCTGCCTCCCCAATAAAGAAATAAATAGAAAGCAGAGAAAAGTAATTGAAATCATAAATTTATGAAATGGGAAGGGATAATGAAAAAAAAGATAATGGGGAAACATAATAATAATAAGCAAACATACAACACATATAATGAGGATAATAAGAGAAAAACACAAGTGACAATGAGAAAAAAACAACTATTGCCCAAAGGAAATTCTAGCCAAAGCAATCAGAAGGGAGGAGATGAAACAATGTGAGATACAGAAAAAGAAAAGGCAAAATAAAATAACTTCCAGATGATATGATTGTCAAGTGGAAAAACCAAGAGAATCAGCTGAAAGTACTTCTCTACAGAGAGTTCTAAAAGTTCCTGGCTTTCAAATTATTTAAAAAAAAATTTTTTTTAACATTTATTTATTTTTGAGAGAGAGAGACAGCATGAGTGAGAGAGGGGCAGAGAGAGGGAGACACAGAATCCGAAGCAGGGTCCAGGCTCTGAGCTGTCAGCACAGAGCCTGACACAGGGCCCCAACTCATGAGCGGTGAGATCATGACCTGAGCCACCAAGGCGCCCCACATGATCTTCAAATTATTAAAGAGAAATAACTTTAATATATTTGAAGACAAATCTTCAAAAATAATAATGGAAAACATCCCATACATAATAGCAAAGAATAAATTTAGCTAGAAATATGTAGCATCTTTATGAGGAAAACTGTAATAGTCTACTGAGTAACTTGATAATCTTTAGTAAGTGAACTGACGTAACATTTCCTGATGATAAGAATCTATTTTGGGACGCCTGGGTGGCTTAGTCGGTTGAGCATCCGACTTTCGCTTAGGTCATGATCTCGCGGTTCGTGGGTTCGAGCCCCGCGTCGGGCTCTGTGCTGACTGCCAGCTCAGAGCCTGGAGCCTATTTCGGAGTCTGTATCTCCCTCTCTCTCTGACCCTCCCCTGCTCATGCTGTCTCTCTCTCTCTCTCTCTCTCTCTCTCTCTCTCTCCTAGAAATAAATAAAAATATTTAAAAAAAAAAAGAATCTATTTTGTAAGATGTCAGTGTTCACCCAGATTAGGTTTATGTCAATTTTAATACATCTCCTCATAAGGATTTCTTTTTCAGAGGGAAAGGGAATTCCTGACCAACATTTATAAAACTCATCTGAAAGAATATAATGTAAAAAGAATCAAAGAATAAAAAAAATATTTGCTCTATCAGACATTAAAATAATGTTGTAAGGGGCACCTGGGTGGCTCAGTCAGTTGAGCGTCCAACTTAGGCTCAGGTCATGAATGATCTCATGGTTCATGAGTTGGAGTCCCACATCAGGCTCTGTGCTGACAACTCAGAGCCTGGAGCCTGCTTCAGATTCTGTGTCTCCCTCTCTCTCTGCCCCTCCCCCACTCGCACTCTGTCTTCCTCTCTCAAAAATAAATCAATGTTAAAAAAAAGTTGTAAAAGTAACATAATTAAAAGTATCTTATGTGTACCAGAAAAGATGGCAAGATCAATGGAATACAATAGAAAGTCTAAATGCAGGCCCAAATCTGGTACATGTATGTTAGTGTTATTGTATATAATATGGTATATTTCATTGTTTCTAAGATGCCATTGGTTGTAGTTCCAAGAAAGAAAAAAAAAAAAAGATTTCAATTAAACTATGACAAGCAATGGATTAGAGAGCAAACTGATTTCAAACATACTAAAATGTGGGGCACCTGGGTGGGTCAGTAAGTTAAGCATCTGACTCTTGATTTCAGCTCAGATGATGAACTCAAGGTTCCTGAGATTGAGCCCCAAGTCAAGCTGAGTCTGCTTGGGATTCTCTCCCTCTCTCTGGCCCTTCACTGCTTGTGCTCTCTCTCTCTTCTCCATATTTTAAAAATATTATTAAAATGTGAAAAAAGTACCTAGTAGTTCAAGTAAGTATGACTTTAGTGTTTAAGGTGGCAGTTCTAATCATTAGAGAAGGGATAACTATTCAGGTACTGTAAAAATCTAGCAGCAATTTGGGGACAAAATTAAGTTGAATTACAAAACCAAATGTGATACAGTGGATCTCTAAAAATACTACAGGGAAATATAGGTTTATATAAAATCTTAAAACAGGGAAGTTTCTTTTAAAAGCAAGACACCATACAGCAGAAAATCTCCTCTGATTAAGATAATTGACAAATGACAAGTACAAAAAAATATATATCTGCAAGACCGGTAATAAGGGCAGGTCTGACATATTAAGCAAGACGGGATGCTAATTTTGGAGCCCACACTGTGAGGTGGAGAGTACGTGAGACTACAAGCAGGGTGTGAGGGCTGGCATCCCCTCTGCCACAAAGCCAGGAGGAAACTGCTTGGTGACAACATCTGATGCCTAGAGTTACAGAAAAGGAAGTATGACTGTGTGATTTTAGAAACCATCTAGTCCCTTCAGAATAGTTGCTAGAGATGTCTCTGTTGGCCAGTGCAGCTCCCATAAAATATATTAATAATAAACAATAAATTAGTAATATATTAATTCAGTTTTACAGAATGGTTTTCTTTCTGGCTTTGCATGAAGTACTTTATTTATATATATAAGTTATTCTGATTTTATAAGGATTACTGGTAGCTGGGGTATCTCAAATGATCAGTTTTAAATTTTATTATTGTACTCTTTATCCAGTCTTCCAGTTATTAATGAAATTTTGCCATAAATGTGTCCAAGCTTTGTATTTTCTTCTCAAAAAGGACCCTGTTTGTTATAAACCTTCTTAAGAACTTCATAGTTTTTTTTTTTAACGTGGGTATTTTTGTTTGATAGAATCAAATTTTCTGAAGGGTGTAAAGAAATCAGCAGGATGCTCAAGGATGCTATATAAATATGACTGTCCATTGTGCTTTCAAAGAAGAATAGATTATATGCCTAAATGGATAATTTGTCTTCACCCCTTTCCTTGCACTGAGCTTAGCCCTGTCTACACATTGTTATCTGTAGCGGTGGATTGTAAAGCAAACACATTTTAGCTGTTCTGCTCTGAGCTGTGGTTGGTACAGCCATCTTTTGATATTTGTACATTTAACATTTGTTTCTATACCTTTGAATTCCAGAGGAATTAATACTTCTTAATGCACATTCAGTGACTTTTGACTAAGGCATAGATTTGAACTGACGTCCAGGAGAGTTACTTAGCACGGTCATAAGCCCAGCAGCCTGTAGTCACATCTCAGCCCCTTCCTGTTGTCTTTTCCTTTCCATACACACAGTAATTCTTATGAAGTGGTAAAAAGAAAAGTCTCGTTTATGGAAAGTGGCCAGTCAAGCAGGAGACAACTGTAGCAGAAATTGAAAGGCAATTACATTGTGATGTGAGGATAAGGCATGAGACACGTGACTCTCAAGAGAATGTGATCTGGGAGGTAGCCAGAGCCTAGGTAAACAGTTCCACATTTATAATTTGGGGATTCACAAAAGTTGGAGGACAAAACCCTTGCGTTGTACCATATATGGGACATGTTCTTTTAAGATAATGCCATTTTTCTTGTAGTGTCCAAACTCGTTATGTTTCGCTTAAAGTATTTCTTGATAGTGGAATAAGTGTTAGAAAAGTATTCCTTGTTGGGGCGCCTGGGTGGCTTAGTCGGTTAAGCGTCCGACTTTCGCTTAGGTCATGATCTCGCGGTTCGTGGGTTCGAGCCCCGCGTCAGGCTCTGTGCTGACAGCCAGCTCAGAGCCTGGAGTCTGTTTCAGTCTGTGACTCCCTCTCTCTCTGACCCTCCCCTGCTCACACTGTCTCTCTCCTAGAAATAAATAAAAAACATTAAAAAAAAAAAGTATTCCTTGCAATACTGATACGGACAGAGAAGGATGTCTTTACTGTCTAAAGTAGAAAAGCTGCCACAAGCAAGGACAAGCACAATGAGGGAGCAGTGAATTTGCAGCGCCAAGAATAAATTGCACATCAGTGGCAATAAAGGGACTCCATGTGCAATCATGGATCATTGTGGACTCTATGAAATCCTGTGCTCTGGGAAAAGTAACTGATAACAGACTATAGTCTCCATGGGAAAGTAGTTTGGGTCAGAGCCGCAGTCCTGCATTCTTTCATTAACTCAGTAAACATTTTTCGGGTTCCTGCTATATGCCAGGCATTTTGCTAGCTGAGGAAGCAGATCTGAGAAAATCTCTCAGCCCAGGGCATGTGCAGCCTAGGAAGAGGACAGAAATGAAGTCGGTTGTGATACACTGAGCAATAGGATTAAGGGCATAGAGGAGTGTCTGCCTCACCTGGGAGGTGAGAGGCCTCCAGGAGCTACTGTGAAGGAGATGTACCTGTCTGCTGGCTAATAGGAAGGAGAGCAGTGGGGAGCAGTAGAGGCGGGCAGAAAAGCACAGGCAAAGTCAGGAGCCAGCAAGATACAGTCAGGGGACTACCAGGGATCTGAAGGAGGTCAAAGGGCATAAAGCAGCGGAGTGTGGTAAAAAGTCCCCCTTGGGACTAGGCTGAGCTGGGCTTTGAATTTTAGATATAAGCATAGCAGCTAAGTGGCCTTGAGCAAATGACTTAACTTTTTGGAGACTCAGTTTTTACAACTGTAAAATGGGGATGGCCATACCTACTTCACAGTACAAATTGTGAGGCCTAGAGATAGTGTGTGTACTGAAGCATTTAGCGTAATACCTACCCCACAGTGGGCACACGCTGGAACTCTGTTATTAAATATTTAGAGACAGGAGAAATAAGGACTTAATAATAGCTTGTTTTACCCAGAGGTAGGAGATCACTGAACTCCTCAAAGAGAGGCCACTAGGCTCAGAATCCTATAAAACTAGGTCAGTAAAGACTTATACTGTTGCTGTAATTTTCCATTTATATTGACTATATGTTTGACTTTTTTTTTAATTTTTTAAACGTTTATTTATTTTTGAGAGACAGAGCATGAGTCAGGGAAGGGCAGAGAAAGAGGAAGACACAATCTGTAGCAGGCTCCAGGCACACAGCCCAATGCAGGGCTAGAACCTACAAACCATTAGATCATGACCTGAGCAGAAGTCAAACGCTCAACTGACTGATCCACCCAGTTACCCCTAGATGTTTGACTTTCCAAGAGAAGCCAGGATTTGGGAGGTTATGGTTTTCCGCAAAGATTAGTTTTGACTTTATTTCTAAATGGTCATTTTGCTTTGCATTTATTTGCAGTATCAAAAGTTGTCTGCAGATACGATTCTCCTGGATATAGCAGTGCTTATTTGAAGTTTGAGATTGTCTGTGTGTATTACCTCTTTTCTACATTCTGTTTTGTATGTTACTATAGTTTTAACTTCTGGTTTCTCAGTAAGGAAAGGCAGTCTGTGTGACCCAAAATTCTGATGTGCATTAAAATTGTTCTCTTGGCAAATGTACAAAAATCCAATTAGTTTCCAAAGGACAAATTGTCTTTGGGGACTCAAGTGATCTAAAATTCGTGACTGAGTCTGGAAGAAAATAGTACTCTAGGATTTTTTTGAACACAGGCAACGTACTGTGTGAAACAAGTTCTCATGTAAATTAATTCAGTTTACTTTTCTAGCTGTTATATTTGTGAGGATCTGTTTACTTTTTTGGAGATTCCAAGCATTCCTCAAAGCATAAGATAATCTTTTTTTGTGTGTGGGGGGGGTGTTAAAGTCAATAAAAAGTATGATAATTAATAATCTTATTTACTCAATTTCTTGGATTGTTATAGGGGTTTGCCAACTTGTAAATAAGATGGAGGAGAATACTGGCAAGGTTAAGCCTTTCAACCGAAATGATGAACAGTTTCTGGAGGCTTTTGTCATCTTTTGTGGCTTGGGGATCCAGAATACGCAGATGTATGAAGCAGTGGAGAGAGCCATGGCCAAGCAAATGGTCACACTCGAGGTGGGTTGGCATCTGCGGGACTCTCGGTCTCTGCAGCCACACTCAGCTTCTGCCTTTCCCGCCAAAACAACTTGTGGGGTCTCATCTCCTCACCAGAGTCAGACTGAATCCTTAGTTCCTCATGGAAACAGCTGAGGAAACAGAGATCCAGAATATTTTAGAAACTTGTCAAAGGTCATATGACCAAAGCAAAACTCGGGCCGTTTGTCCCTTCACTCTTTTGACCTTCAGGACGCATTCACGCAGATGTCTGCTGCCAGCGCCGCCTGTCTGTCCCTGCGCCAGTGCCTGAGCCTCCCCATCTCCTAGTGAACAGTTGTACTCATACATCTTGAAAGACAAATATAGAAACCCTAAGCACTCGGAGAATCAGAAACAAGGAAAAGGGAAACACTTTCAGATTACAGATGTGTGAATCCCACTTCTGAAAATCCTGATTCATAAGTTTTGGGGAGAGGCTGGGAATCTGCATTATTTTAGAACTTCCCACAGGTGATTCTGAAAGCGCAGGCAGCTTATGACCCACTGGCCTGGGACACTGACCTTCGGCAGGCTCCCTCCCGAGTAAGACTACCCTACTCAAGTGGGGCCAGCCTTTTCCAGATGTATTTTACTAACTGCCTGAAAATGTTCACTTTGCATAACCCAGAAATTTCTTAAATCACAGATCTAGTTTAGGGAAATAGACTTCAAAAGGGCAAATGTCTCTACTTATTCATACACTGGTGGGAAATATGTTTGAATGTTTGCTTACTCCTATGTAGTTGAGATCAGTGGGAATCTGTATTTAGAAATTGCAACTTTTCCTCCAATCCTCTAATAAGTGCCTAACCTAAATAGCTAGAAAGATATATAAGTAAAAATTTACTAATAACCAAGACGGTATACTTTCTAAGATGAATATATAACATGAAAAGTTTTGCCTTGGTATTATATAAGAACTTTGGATTATTAGCCAGTGGAAAACTTTTCAGATACACACACATGTATGTATATATGCATATAAACATCTATACAAAAATATATGTGTGTATATATGCACACATATACATCAAATTATATCTATACACATACATATATGTACATATAGTGTCACACATATATACATACGTATGTATACCTGTGTGCATGTGTGTATATACATATATTTTTAATCAAATTTTTTTTCTTTCATATTTTATTGTCAAGTTGGTTTCCATGTAACACCCAGTGCTCATCCCAACAAGTACCCTTCTCTATGCCCATCACCGCCTTTCTGCTTTCCCCCATCTCCATCAGCCCTTAGTTTGTTCTCTGCATTCAAGAGTCTCTCATGGTTTGCCTCTCTCCCTCTCCCCAACTATTTTCCCCTTCTCCTCCCCCATGGTCCTCTGTTAAGTTTCTCTTGTTCCACATATGACTGAAAACATATGGTATCTGTCTTTCTCTGCCTGACTTATCTCACTCAGCAGAACACCCTCGAGTTCCATCCACGTTGCTACACATGGCCAGATTTCATTCTTTCTCATTGCCATGTAGTATTCCATTGTATAGATAAACCACATCTTCTTGAGCCATTCATCAGCTGATGGACATTTAGGCTCTTTCCATGATTTGGCTATTGTTGAGAGTGCTGCTGTGAACACTGGGGTACATGTGCCCCTATGCATCAGCACTCCTGCATCTCTTGGGTAAATTCCTAGCAGTGCTATTACTGGGTCATAGAGGAGTTCTGTTGTTAATTTTCAAGTTTTTTATAGTTCCCTTGGTTTTGCACTGAATTGAATCTAAGCCAGCTATCAATTAGAAATTATATCTTCTTGTAAAAATGTTATTTTGGAAAATTGCAAACACATACAGAATATGAGAGAGAATAGGTATAATATAGAGAGACTAGCTTAGTGAGTGCCCATGTACTCTTTAGCCATCTTTAATAATTATTGACCCCTGGCCTACAGTATCATTCCATTCGTACACTTGCTCACTTTTCTGTACTCTTCTTCCACTTTAATCCATTGATTATTATGAAGCAAATCCCAGACATTATATAATTTTGTTCAAGGTCTTTGAGTATTTTCTTGATTGAGATTTATTTCAATTTTTACACTATAGTCTTACTTTAGTTAAATATATGAGTAATTAGGCTTTTACTTAGTCTAAACATTTATTTTATTTCAATTCACTATGAGAAGTCCTATCTATGCTCACAAGTTTAACCTTGAAAGAGATTCTCTTTTCATTACAGGGCATTGGATAAAAGCTACGGACACAAACCCCTCAGGTTTTCTTAAGACAGTGAATTATTTTGACCTGGAAGTCATGGTCATTATAATGACAATAAAACAACAACAATAATAGCTAACCTTTGTCAAATGCTTACTCTGTGTTCTGATGCTCACATGTATAGACGTACCTCATTTATTGTGCTTTGTTTTATCACCTGTCACAGATACTGCATATTTTACAAATTGAAGGTTTGTGGCAACCCTATGTTGAGCAAGTCTGTCAGTATCATTTTTCCAACAGCATTTGCTCACTTCATGTCTCTGTGTCACATTTTGGTAATTCTTAAAATATTTCAAGCTTTTTCATTATTATTATATTTGTTATCCAGAGCTGTGATCAGTCATTAGGACCTGTTGAAACTCAGGTGATGAGTTTCATTTTTGTAGCAATAAAGTATTTTTGAAATAAGGTATCATTTTTTTTTTAGAAACAATGCTATTACACACTTAGTAGACTGCAGCATAGTGTCATCATGACTCCTATGTATAATGGGAAACCAAAAACTTCATTTGACTCCCTTTATTACAATACTGGTTTTATTGCAGTAGTCTGGAAATAAACCCGCAATATCTCCAAGGTATATCTGTATTAACGAAGTTAATCATTACAACCCTATTATGAGTAAGGTGGTATTAGTATCTCCAGTGTGACAAAATTTATTTTTTAAAACATAGAATGGTATGTTATTCCTGTATCCATTTAAGTCTGAACATGGCTTACCTTTTTATCAGTCCTGCTAATATCTTTGGGATTTTTAGTAAATCTGTGGTGTCTCTGTCAAAGATGAACTTAAAAAAAATATTTTTGAAAAAATATGGCAGACCTTTTAAATATGGCCACTACCGTGGTTCAAAAGAATGTCTAAAATATTATCCTGTTACTTTGAAGTTATTACTTTTAGGAATATGGGGATTAATGATTCTTGTGTTAAGTGATGAGAAAATAGTAACTCTACTAGGGTAAGAGAAAGTATACTAGGTTAGGTATTGAAAGCAGGGTCCCAGGCCCCCTGTCCCCTCAGTAAGTGCCTCACACCCTGAGATGTCACTGTATGGATATATGAGGCAGTGTTGCCTATCTTGATTTGTGTGACATTATGTTCTAGCCATGCCATTTTTCTTTATGAAATTCTAGAGTAGTTACAGTTTTCCTCTGAGAGCCGCTTCTAGACTACTTGCTTTCCAAATATCAATGTTAAAATGTCAGCTGATGCAAATGATTTTTTGTGTAATTCTGTACACAACTAAAAATAACTGAAGTCAGTATTATTTTTTAAAAAGCAGTGCAAAAAGAAAAAAAAGCACCATGTAAATTTTCTGCAAACTCTGAGCCAGTAGCATGGCTTATAAGTAATGTGTTAAGGAACACATCAACATTGTCAGAATAAAAGTGACAAGACTTTCTCTGAAAACAGAGAGTATAACTTTCTGTCTTCTGAAATAAGCAATTAAGTCAGAGACTGGGATTGTTCTCTCTGTTAAAGAAAGTGGCAACCACGATTTGGAATCCTGAGGTGTCTAGTTCTCTCTCCAGAAGTTTTAGCAGAATCTCGAGCTTGAGACTGTGTCTACATTCGGCAGTTCTCTCCTGGATAACCTGTTCTCCTTTGTTTCTTACCCCGTAGGTTCTGTCGTATCATGCTTCAGCAGCAGAGGAGGAAACAAGGGAGCTCCAATCCTTAGCGGTAATTCTCCTTGTAAAAGTGACTAACTGCAGACATTTAATTAATGCATAAACGTGCTTCTGTTCGGATAACTACTTCCAATGCAGTGGTCCCATTTTTAAATTTTTATTATTATTAAGTTTATTTATTTATTTTTAAGTTTATTTATTTTGAGAGAGAGACAGAGAGTGAGCAGGGAAAGGGCAAAGAGAGAGGGAGAGAAAGAGAATCCTAAGCAGGATCTGCACTATCAGCACGGAGCCTAATAATGTGAGGCTCAAGCCCATGAACCGTGAGATCATGGCCTGAGCTGAAACCAAGAGTCAGGCATTTAACTGAGTCACCCAGGCACCCAAGCAATGGTTCCATTTAATTAAATGTGGTAAATATTTAGATGGACATTCATAAAAATATTTACTCAATTCTACTTTCTTGTAGGCCTAAAGAGGCACTGATGATACAAAGCAAAAGATAACATATTGACTTCGTGATACATCTTATGATTCTGATTTTTTTTTTTTTTTTTTTTGCAAAAATGTACGTCTTTCTTAGGCCAAAACTAAATTTACTTTTCAGTTCCTGGGGAAACAGTGAACAAGTGACTGACTGTGAGGTGGTTGTTTGGTTAGGGCAGTGACAACAATTTTATAGTTTGTTATTGATAATCTGTTCTGCATTATTGAGAATTGAGAGTGATTTTAATGTCTGACCACATGGCTTATAATGTTATTTGAAATTGGGTTCAAATAAGGTCGGTTCCTGAATTCTCATTACATCGTTATTTAGTAAGCTATGAGAAACAAAAGCACACTGATATGTACGTAGAATGTTAAATGTTCTAGGTCTTGATTGAGATTAATGAAAATTTGAGGCACTTAAACATTTATAGCAAAGACTGGCCTTCTGAGTTGAAATTTACTTGAGACAACACGGATAAGGTCTACGTGAGATGTGACAAGAGTCTGTAAAGAATGAAAAGGGTGTAAATATGTCACTGAGATTCTTTTTCATTACCATCATCATAGCTGGCCAAATGCCACCCCTCTGTGGCCTGACCTACATTTTCTCACTTAAACTGCACAGCTACGCTTAAGGGCCACACTGAAGCTAGAGAAGCTCAAGGTGACACTGTCAGAAAGTGGAGAAGTCAGAATACAAACTCACAGTCTCAACCCAGAGCCCATGCATATAACCACTGGGTTGTCTGCTATGAGCTATTAGCGACAGAGAAGATTAAAGATGATTGAAATGTTTTGACCTCCATAATTAAAACGATGATGGTGCCATGAATTAACAAAAGTGGAAATATTAAGAAGGAAAACTTGGCAGATTTGACTTAGAGCATGGTAAGTGTGAGGTGCTGGTGGAACAGCCAAATGGACATCTTCAATAATCAGGAAAGGCAGGACTGGAGTGGGCAGGGGCTGAACCAGAGGTGGCAATTTGAAGGTCCAGCCTTGCGATTTGGGGCATTCCCGTGGGGTAGAGTTGTTGGGAGAGGGGCCTGGAAGATTGAAGGCCAAACTTTCAGGAATCTGGGTTTCTGTGGAAGGAGTGGGAAAAGAACCCGGCTGAGGTAAAGATGTGGTCGTTAAACAGGGAGGAGGATTTAGAATGGGCAGTGGCACAGAAGGGCAAAGTTTGAAAAAGGAAGGAGGTCCCAAGGGTTATAGAAGGTTGAGTAACAGGACTGAGGAAGCCTGCTGCATTCTGCAGTCATGTGATTGTTCAGACAGCAGCTTTTGGAGTCAACTGCAAGAGTTAAGAATAAATGGTGACAAAATGGAGGAAACAAATACAGACTAGTTTTAAAAGATACGTTTTGTGTAAAACAAGGAGTGGAGTAGTAGTTATGAAAAATGCTGGCTGAAGTTTTTGTTTTGCTTTGTGTTGTGTGCAAGGTTTGCTCACAAGCAAGAAAACCAGCATGCTCCTGGACAGAGGGTGAAGGTACGGCGATGAGGGAGTGCAAGGCAGGGAAGAGATCTGGACCTTGGAGCAGCCTAGGCATTGAGTGAGACAAGATGGAAGCTATGATAGTAATAATAATGAGAATAGCTACATTTATTGAGCACTTACCTTATACCTGGCATGTTTGAAGTTCTTTGTGTGTATTTAGTCCACAGTAGCCCCATCAGGTCGGTACGGTTAGCATGTGGAATTTGAGCAATTTGAGACTGAGAGGCTTTAGGTTGTCCCCAGGATCTCCCAGGTCGTGAGTGATGGTGCCAGTACTAACTCCAGGCAGTCCCCATCCAGAGCCCACACTCCGCTGCGTGGCAATGGAGAGGTAATGAGCTGGAAAAGAAGGAAAGATGAGGACTTACAGAAGTTCTCAATTGAATCAGTGAGTAGAAAGCAGAGTCATTTGCCAAGATCAGTTTAAGGAACTTGGGATGTTTCACCTGAAAGGTTAAGCTTCTTTTGGGGTTAGCCTCGTTTGGGATGGGCTTTATTTATTTTGTTCATGATGGTATTTGAAGAAATGAACAGTTTTTCAATTATTTACAGAAGTTTATAGGTTTTAAATATCTTTCACATCAGGCTTAATTGGCCTGTTGGTCTAATCCTCCCAGAATGATGAAGTTTTGAACTAAATGCATACTGTGAGTTGGAAATTATCACATGGAAAGATATATCTTGAAGCGCTTGCGGGCACTGCGGGAGTATTAAATTAGTTATAAAATGAGGGCAAGGTTACCCTATGCCATGTGTTGTTTTAGATAGTAAAAACTAGCAAATAGAGCAGTTTCTAAAGATAATGCTTAAAAAATCACTAGGATATTAAGCTTTGCTTTTCACTTTGAAAATAGCAATCTTTCAGAAAAAAAATCTGAAAATTATTTTCTCAATTATTTTTATAATTTTAGCAAGAGGAAAACACTTTGGAATAACTGAAAATTGCTATATTGCAGTATTGTTCAAAACCATCTGTTGTTTCATTTGGAAAATAGATTTCTGGCAGCTGCATTGAGAAATTTAGGGTTACATCACTTGTAGGTCAACTAATTTATTTAAATTGGTTGAAATTCAGCAACTGAATTCAATACTGGTTTTCCATCAACCTAATAAAAATTCTTTTACAGCCCCAACCACACAGGTGTCTGCATCATCCAGCGACTACCAACGTTGCTGTCTTTGTCATGTATCTGATTATTTATCTCAGTTTAAGACCTAAAATAAATTGAGAAGCTGCCTATGGTTTCTTCACTTTTATTTTTACAAATTAGTTCTGGAGAGTTAAATAATATATTTAAATATACTAAATATTTATGCCTGTTTCTAGAAAAGTTCTCTAATTATAACAAAAGTATAAGAAAGTTGATAGGAAACTCAAAATACTTATTTTTCCCCCTTGTTTTACTTGAGTTTTTAATCTAATTTCTCTTGACTTAAAATTGGGTATAGCAGAAATAGGGCCTAAGAGAGGCATGTTGCCATATGCCTTTAATGATCCTTAGTTACAAGTTGTTGAGATAAAAATAAATGGACTCTCAGACCCTTTTGTGATCCTGAAAGGTTTTCTGCATCAAAATAGTGGGAGAGGGAGAAGCTGACCTCTAAGACAGGATTTCCTAGAACAGAATTTACTCATCTTGACCTTAATCTTTCAGAGCCAGAAACTTACCTGAACTTTCTTGATCAGGTGTATGTTCCTGCTGCAGGTGACAGCAGCAAAGGGGAGAAACATGTCCCTGACTCAAATCCCTGATGCCCAAGGCAGGAGTAGAGTATAGATCTCATTTCTTGTATTAAGATGATCACATTCCTCCACTTTTGGGGAAAATCTATATATGGATAGTCAGGTTAAAGAAAGAAAATTTTGAGCTAATAATAATAAATAAGAGTTGATGTTATATTCTTGATAACCAGTGTCACTGAACTGTAGTAACCTACGGTATCCAGTAAGGCACACTCTTCCTCAAACAGTCCTAGAATTACCCTGAAACCGCCTGAGTCCTTTGAACTTCCTGTATACCATCAGTTGGATACATTCGTTTTTATAGAGGTCTATAACATTAACTGGGCTGTATCTTTTCCACATTGGCAAGACTTAGTAGATTATGTTTGATTCTTCCTGCTTTCCTTTGGCAAGCTAATCTTATCTTTTCTGCTTTGGTTTTACTAGCAGACTACTTTCAATGGTAATCTTAGCTCCAGAGGATAGTGGCACCATTCTTGACCTTCTTATATACTAACTAGCAGCTAACCAGATCTCTGTTTATTATTCCTAATTTAGTAATAAATTTACCCTGAGAGTTTTACTTATTAGCATATGTGCATATTATCAGAATCTTGACATTATCATGTGCCATCTTTACATGGTTTTGAAAACTGTATGCTCATTTGTTTTTATATTCTGTGCCTCTTTGCCATTGAGATTAAAAAGATGACATTTAAGGACACCTGGGTGGCTCAGTCAGTTGAGCGTCCAACTTTGGCTGAGATCATGATCTTATAGTTCATGAGTTTGAGCCCCACATCGGATTCATTGCTCTCACGCAGAGCCTGCTTCAGATCCTCTGTCCCCCAGTCTCTCTACTCCTCCCCAGCTTGTGCTCTCTCTCTCAAAAGTAAATAAACACATTTAAAAATAAATAAATAAATAAAACATAAGGCTTATATCATGTTAGAAAAAAAGAAAAATTATAAAACATGTTGATACAGTTATTGAAGAAAATACTCTAATCCAGCACTGCTGTGCATTATTCACTTCTTTATTCTCTGTAAGACTTGGTTCCACATACTAAGTTGAATTTTTTTCTTATAGTTTATTGTCAAGTTGGTTTCCATATAACACCCAGTGCTCATCCCAACAAGTGCCCTCTTCCATGCCCGTCACCTCCCTTCCCCTCTCCCCCACCCCCATCAGCCCTTAGTTTGTTCTCAGTAGTCAAGAGTCTCTCATGATTTGCCTCCCTCCCTCTCCTTAACTACTTTTTCCCTTCCCACCCCCCATGGTCCTCTGTTAAGTTTCTCCCGATCCACTTATAAGTGAAAACATATGGTATCTGTCTTTCTCTGCCTGACTTATTTTGCTCAGCATAACTCTCTCAAGTTCCATCCATGTTGCTACACATGGCCAGATTTCATTCTTTCTCATTGCCATGTAGTATTCCATTGTATAGATAAACCACATCTTCTTGAGCCATTCATCAGTTGATGGACATTTAGGCTCTTTCCATGATTTGGCTATTGTTGAGAGTGCTGCTGTGAACCTTGGGGTACATCTGCCCCTATGCATCAGCACTCCTGTATCCCTTGGGTAAATTCCTAGCAGTGCTATTGCTGGGTCATAGGGGAATTCTGTCATTAATTTTTTGAGGAACCTCCACACTGTTTTCCAGAGAGGCCGCACCAGTTTACATTCCCACCAACAGTGTAGGAGGGTGCCCATTTCTCCACATTCTCGCCAGCATCTAGAGTCTCCTGATTTGTTCATTTTAGCCACTCTGACTGGCGTGAGGTATAGGTATCTCAGTGTGGTTTTGATTTGTATTTCCCTGATGAGGAGGGATGCTGAGCATCGTTTCATGTGTCTGTTAGCCATCTGGATGTCTTCTTTGGAGAAGTGTCTGTTCATATCTTCTGCCCATTTCTTCACTGGATTATCTGTTTTTCAGGTGTGGAGTTTGGTGAATTTCTTATAGATTTTGGATACTAGCCCTTTATCTGGTATGTTACAACTATCTTTTCCCATTCTGTCAGTTGCCCATTAGTTTTATTGATTGTTTCCTTGGCCGTGCAGAAGCTTTTATCTTGATGAGATCCCAATAGTTCATTTTTGCTCTTGATTCTCTTGCCTTTGGGGATGTGTCAAGTAAGAAATTGCTGCGGTTGAGGTCAAGGAGGTTGTTTCCTGCTTTCTCCTCTAGGGTTTTGATGGTTTCCTGTCTCACATTCAGGTCGTTTATCCATTTTGAATTTATTTTTGTGTATGGTGTGAGAAAGTGATCTAGTTTCATTCTTTTGCACGTTGCTGTCCGGTTCTCCCTGCACCATCTGTTAAAGAGGCTGTCTTTTTTCCATTGGATACTCTTTCCCACTTTGTCAAAGATTAGTTAGTTGGCCGTCCATTTGTGGGTCCAATTCTGAGTTCTCTATTCTATTCCATTTGTCTATGTGTCTGTTTTTGTGCCAATACCATACTGTCTTGATGACAGCTTTGTAGTAGAGGCTAAAGTCTGGGATTGTGATGCCTCCCATTTTGGTTTTCTTCAGTATTACTTTGGCTATACAGGGTCTTTTGTGGTTCCATACAAATTTTAGGATAATTTGTTCTAGCTTTGAGAATAAAGCAGGTGCAATTTGGATTGGGATTGCATTGAATGTGTAGATTGCCTTGGGTAGCACTGACATATTAACAATATTTATTCTTCGGGGCGCCTGGGTGGCTTAGTCGGTTAACGGTCTGACTTTCGCTTAGGTCATGATCTCGCGGTTCGTGGGTTCGAGCCCCGCGTTGGGCTCTGTGCTGACTGCCAGCTCAGAGCCTGGAGCCTGTTTCAGAGTCTGTGACTCCCTCTCTCTCTGACCCTCCCCTGCTCACGCTGTCTCTCTCTCTTTCTCTGTCTCCTAGAAATAAATAAAACATTAAAGAAAATTTAAAAAAAAAAACAATATTTATTCTTCTGATTCATGAGCATGGAATGTTTTTCCATTTCTTTGTGTCTTCAATTTCCTTCATAAAGTTTCTATAGTTATCATCATACAGATCTTTTACATCTTCGGTTAAGTTTATTCCTAGGTATTTTATGGCTTTTGGTGCAATTGTGAATGGGATCAGGTTTTTGATATCTCTTTCTGTTGCTTCATTATTTGCTATATAAAAATGCAGCCAATTTCTGTACATTGATTTTTGTACCCTGCGACTTTGCTGAATTCATGGAACAGTTCTAGTAGGCTTCTGGTGGAGTCTGTTAGGTTTTCCATGTACAGTATGATGTCATTTGTGAAAAGTGAAAGTTTGACTTCCTCTTTGACAATTCTGATGCCTTTGATTTCCTTTTGTTGTCTGATGGCTGATGCTAGGACTTCCAGCACTAGGTTAAACAACAGTGGTGAGAGTGGACATCCCTGTCGTGTTCCTGATCTCAGGGGGAAAGCTCTCAGTTTTTCCCTGTTGAGGATGATATTAGCTGTGGGTTTTTCATAAATGGGTTTTATGAAGTTTAATTAAGCTCCTTCTATCCTGACTTTTTGAGGGTTTTTATTAAGAAATGATGCTGTATTTTGTCAAATGCTTTTTCTGCATCTATTGATAGGATCATGTGGTTTTTATCTTTTTTGTTGTTGTT